CTAGGATTATCTTCCACAACCTTTTGTATTCCTTTTTTCAAGGACTTATTGGATGATTCAGCTTGACCATTGGCTTGTGCATAATATGGGGTGGAATTAACAAGACTAATTCCAAACTCAGACACAAAAGACTTTACCATTTTCCCATAAAAAACAGTCCCATTATCAACCATTATCGTTTGTGGGATGTAAAATCTATGGATCAAATTTTTAATGAACCCAATAACCTCCGTCTGATCTACAGCTTTGTATGGCTTAGCTTCGACCCATTTGGTGAAATAATCAGTAACTACCAAAATGAAACAATGACGCTTCGAAGAGGGTGGGTGTATTTTCTCCATCATATCCATGGCCCATCCTCTGAACGGCCAAGGCTTTACTACTACATGCAGATCAGTTATGGGCACATGCCTTATTGTACCATGCTTTTGACATGACTGGCAACCCTTTGCATATTCTATGCAGTCTTTAAGGATAGTTGGCCAATAATAGGAATGTCTTCGAAGCATCCATCTCATTTTTACACCAGGCTGATGTGCACCACAGATGCCTTCATGAACCTCAGCCATAGTTGTTAATGCTTCTTTTGGTCCTAAACATTTCAACAATAGACCATCTCCCCCTCTTTTGTAGAGATCATTGTTATATATGATGTATTGCATAGATTACAATTTAACTCTTCTGCTGGCTTTTGAGGACGGGCCAGCCAAGTACTGTATTATTGGATGCCTCCAATCTTGTTCCTGCAGATCATTATGATTGATTTCCAGGACCACATTCCTTTTATTTAAGGGTGGTATAGATTTTTGGTATGTTGTTTGGCTTACGTCCCGTTGGGTACCATCATTTCTCTTAAAATTCGAGACTTTCTGAGCCACATCATTAACTCTATTATTCAAGAACCTCGGAACATGAGTTACATTTGCTATTTCAAATTGAGAGAGCAAATGTAATGCGACAACATAATATGTGTTTGAAAGTATACTTTGACACTTGAAAATCCCTTTTACTTGGTTAACCACCAATTGAGAATCTCCAAATATGTCAACTGCATGTACTTGTAACCCAATAAGAAAC